TTTTGTTTCAATATATTCAAATTATAATACATTTATTTTTATGTTTCTTTTTCAGAACTTGGATTTTTTTTTGGACCGACCCAAATCAATTTTCCTCCGGGAGCCGGGGATCCCCTTTTCATTTCTACTTCTGAACTCTACACTTTGAATATTTAATGGTATAAAAATCAAATTCATTTAATTTACATCAAATATCTTGAAGCATTTAAATCATTTGATTAAAATTAACTAATAATAATTAACTCTTAATAAATCCAGTTCATCAGTATAAAATATAATTCCATTTATATAGAAATATCTAATTTTTTCAAAATATTCAAATTTTAATTCACTTAATTTACATAAAATATCTTAAAACTTTTGAATCATATGATTAAAATTAACTAATTATAATTAACTTTTAATAAATCTAGTTCATCATTATAAAATATAATTAGATTTAAGTTGATCTAATCTTGTTTCAAATTTTAATTCATTTATTTTTTTTTTTCATCTACCTAAATCAAAATTCCTCCAGGAGCTGGGATCCCCTTTTAATTTTTACCTTTTCATTTTAAAAGGTATAAATTTGATAATTTTTAATTTATTTAAAATATTATAAAAATCTAATATAATAATTTATTTAATTTAAATAAATTTATAATCTTTGTATTATTACTCTCATTTAATAATCAAATAATAATATTTAAATTCAATATAATAGCTACTGCTGGATCACTCTGGCTACTTAATACACCACTAATTGCCAAATGCTAAATCACTGTATCAAGAACACTCTTCACAGGAGCATTTCTGAAAAAGATTATTGATCAATAATTGCTGTTCATGGTTCAAGGAGGATATAAAATTATTTAATGGTATTTTTACCTTGTATGGTATAACAAATATATATATTTATTTTTTTATTTTAAATGGATTATAAAGTTTAATATTTACATATATTATTTCAAGTTGTCATTATGCTGAAGATTTGAAATTTTAGTCGTTGAAGAAGTAAAAAATTTGTAAAATCGGGTGTAGAGGGAATAGGACTCAAGTTCTGGCATACCATGTGTGACGTTTCGTCCTTGTTCCTCTTCTACTGGTTAAAAGGTACACTTAGTCACTGACCTATAGATGGGCCGCTATGAGACATTGTTGGACAACAAGATTGGTTGACGAGGAGACACGATGTTTGAAACATCACAGCAAACATAATCATACTATCGGCGTCCACGAAAAAACAACAATTTACGGAAGAGACCATGTGATTATGATTGTTGCAATACTACCGATACCAATTATGTATCGAAGCTTTTCTTACGATACCATGGTTTCGATATTTATATCGATAAGAAAATATTGGTATCGAATGAACAGTATTGAACCAATTACTAACCGCCATATCGGTTCAAGAATCAAAATACTCGAATGGTATCGTACAATAATTATTTTCTAGTAAAATGGTTTGCGCGCGTGGTAGTGGATTTGTTTACATAAATCAGTCATCACACTATAGTCTATACTCTTTTCGATTATATTGTTACTAGCTGAATTACCCGGCTTCGCCCGTGTGTAGTTTTTGCTTTCTCAAAATGAAATTTTTAAATCAACACACATTTTTGTGTTTTAAAGAAAAAAAATGTATTTTATTTAATGCTATCAAAAGCTAAATAATAGTAGTAGCTGAATTATAAACAAAACAAAAAAAATAATAATAATATTTACAATTGACTCTAGGTAGTTGCTCAATTCTAATATGGCTTAAGTCAAAACCTTTTGATATATCACATTCTGAGTTTTATTTAGTGGTACATAAAGGTATAAATGGTCAGGTCTTCCAACTCTAGACAATGCCACATACAATTATCGATGTGAAAAACAGTTATTTTCCAAATCTACACCACAGTAAGTTAAAGTCTGACCTTGGGCTTTGTTTATTGTCATTGCCAGACTTTTTTTGGAAATTGAACTCTTCTAAAATTAACTGGAAAATCGTTGGGGTATAATGATATTTTCAGTAAAAATATTTTTTCTCCCTTAGCACATCCGGTCAAATGTTCAGCTTTAATGATATTTTTTGTAAGAGAAGTTACGAAGTTACTTGGAGCCTAGTCCCAATACATAATCTAGAAGAATTCAAATTTTTCAGTAAAATGATTGGAACTCCTTCAGTGATATTTTATGAGAAGGTATACCAAATGGCGTTTGTGAATTTAAAAACTCGATAGGAAAATTTACCGATTCTTCTCTATTAAATACTGTATCGATAGAAAAGTAATTCATTTCTAGTGCTTGAAATCCACTAATTATTAGCGAGTTTATTGAGTCAGCTCGGTTATTTGTGGTTGTCAAAATAACGCGGTTTTCCATATAATTCTATATAAGTCATAGCAACCGTAATCGTTCAACTGCTATTGTTATTATTATATGAATATAGATATACAAATTACATGTAAAAATTATTTTTATCGATTTCAACCCTTTAAAATCAAAATTTTGAAAATTGCGTAACGTGATGACACTTATGAAGGTATTTGGAACAATTCTGTGAAAAAAAATTTGAAAAAAGTTAAATAGCGTCGTCACAAAATGGGTATATAAAAAAAGGCCTGTTCTTTTATATATATAAGGATTTCCACGGACCAGAAACCACAGTCCACAATAGAATAGCGTCAATAGGTTTCCGGAACGATTATTCGTATCGGTCGTTTTTATATTTTTACTCTTATCATTATTTTAATTCGATTCGATACGACTATACGACGGAAGTAAAAGAATCATTACTTTTCTTTCGATATTTACTTATATCGATCCTTTCGTTTCGATACTCATACCGGTATTTTTATTCGATTCGATACCAAGTAAAAGTATCGATACTTTTCAATTGATACCATGTCCTTAGTTGTAGGTACAACGAATATGATTGCTTTATTTATAAGTTATAAGTTATGAGTAGGCTTAGGGACTTCTAGAATTTGCATGCTTTTTTTAATTATTGTTAAATGTAACAGAGTGCGAAGTAAATTCGTTTCTCGGTGCCATAATATCAGATCCAAAATTTGAATGTGCATATTTTTGCATATTTGATAGATTTCGCAGGAGAGTGCATATTTTAAAATTGTTATGCTTATTTTGCATATATTGACAAATTTTTCAAATTTCAAATTAAAAATTATATATAGGTATATATAACTATATATATACAAATTTCAAACGATCGAAGAAAAAAATGTACTAAAAGAACTTAATATTTTCAGTAATATGCTATATTCAAATTACCTTTCATATCTGGTTATAATTTTTGTGCAAGTATAAATAATACTATAAACCCGTATCGATCGTAACCCGCTGGATATCGACCGAATTTTGATAAAGATAATAATCGATATAGAATAATAGATTATTTATTTAGTTCAGTCGATTATTATCCGTCGTTGTTTTTGCTAACCACGCAACGTCGAATCATACGTTAAACGTCGTACGGGTATATTTTGTAAAATTGAGTAATGCCGAAAATACAACCGTCTACGAGTAGCTGACTACAAAGTTTTGTTTTGGAGTTTAAATATATACATTTACATCCGATGTACACGTTTTATTTTGTGTACTATGTGGTAATTTTCTTTTTAATGCATATAAATGCATATGTTAATGATTTTAGAAGCATGTTTGCATGCATATTTGTATATTTTTAGAGCTATAAGTCCCTAAGCCTAGTTATGAGAATTATAAACGGAAAATATCGTTAAAGGCAGAGGTGTATTAATACGTATACGCGGGTACACGGTGTATACATATCAACAGATTTTCGATTTTCGGCGTATACCTAATGTAAAATATTATTTTACGGGTATACGCTTCTAAAATAATTCAAAAACAAAAAAACTAATAATAATTTAATATTTCATTAGAAAAAATTTTATGAACCATGAAACTCATTGAAATATTCAACTGTTGAAGATTACAGTGTACGCTGTGTTTAATGTATTTTGTTAACTGTGTAGTATGGAGTGTAGACATTCAGTACATGGTCCTTAAATCTGCATCATGCAATTTATAACGCGTTACAAATGTACATCTTGTGGTGTTATATTTTATAGTCTGAATAGAAGTTATAAACATGTAGTTTCAAAGGATTAATTACATTTTTTCGAACGTATCGAGAGAAAAAAATTATCAAGCGAAGCAAGAAAATTTATTTTAGGATTAATATCCATATTTTTTTTAGTGCGTATACCCATAAATATATATACCATTATACTACTGGTTAAAGGTAATATATATATACATGGTTTGTACTTATAGGGTTAACAGTTACATTGAGACATTTCATTATACATAGAACAATTAATTGATGAATTTAGTGTAAAAGCCAGAAGAATGAACTTCCGTCTTGATTGAATTTCTTTTTTTTTTTTTTTTTTTATAATAATAAAGAATAAAATTCGAAAATAATACATTTTTATTTATGACATCCCCTCATACTAAATTCCTGCACACGCCACTAATGAGAATAAATATGTATTCTAATAGTATTAGAATAAAAATTGTGAGGAAGGGTATTCGATTCTTGGTCAATGTCAGGGTGTATTTTTAATATTTTCCCCGGACGTAAAAATGCCTATAGTTTCGCCTTTGATTCAAAATACAAGTTAAAAAATACAAATACAATTTAAATAAAACATCTTTCGCCCACGATCGGTTGAATAGATAAGTACTGGCATAAGCACAGCAATGTCATGTTGGTACAGAGACGGCGAGTGATAACGGGAACACCATTTTCATTATCACTCAGATGCGTAACTGATTATATTGTTTGGCCGTGCACGTGTTCGCATCACTCCAAAATTCCGTTGTCTGAACACCAGACGTTGATTTTCGTGCTGTGCGGGAACGTTATTTGAGCTTCTTGTTCTTACGTTCGTGTTATCGTGCAGACGATGGGAAAGAAAGGTTTAAAGAGGAAGCAGAAGTCCGAAGAGGCCACTATCGAAGAAACTCAAGTGGTCTTGCCTCGCGTGCGACAATCCGACGAGCCGATCGCAAAAAAGGTGATTATTGCCGTAATTTCTGTATCTCGGAATCGGCAAATATGAATGTTTCATTATATGTGTTTCGTTTCAGTTCCGAACGTTTTGATAACTGTTGATTTTATCGTTTCTCTACAGGCCAAATGGATAAACAGAGAACGGGTTCTAGTTTTTGCCACTCGTGGAATAAGCTTTCAGCATCGCCATTTGATGAAAGATATTATCAAAATGTTGCCCCACGCTAAAGCAGCCAACAAAATGGAACGCAAAGAAAACCTCTTTGTAGTGAATGAGGTACATTTAATTTAAAACATCACCTTATATATCGGTTTGTAACTTATTTCATTATTATCTCTAGATGTGCAAAATGGTACATTGTAATAAGTGCATTTTGTTTGATGGTAGACTTCAAAGAGATTTGTATATGTGGTTTTCAAATTCTCCAAATGGTCCGAGTATCAAGTTTAACGTAGAGAGTAGTAAGTAATCCAAGTATAATGTTATTTCAATTATTTCTAATCATTGACTGTTATTTTAGTATTTACGAGTGCCGAACTGAAATTAACTGGAAATTGCTTGAAAGGATCTCGTCCAATATTGTCGTTTGACCATTCGTTTGATGAGCATCCACAATATTCATTGTTGAGAGAGATGTTTGTTCAAATTTTTGGCGTGCCTAATCATCATCCCAAAAGTCAACCATTTGTTGATAATGTATTAAATTTTTCTGTATTGGATAATAGAATATGGTTTAGAAACTATCAAATATTGGATGAAAATGGTGCAATAGCTGAAATAGGTAAACATGTACAATATTAAATAGCACGTAAACATAATATTTTTTTATTATTTGAATGATTCAATTAATTTATGTCAGATCAATCAAATTATTTGGTCTGTAAATTCAGTTATTTATTTAGATTGTTTTTCTTACTTCCAAAAATGATTTATATATTAACATTAATGACTAAAACAGTAATTATTATATTATATTTTGTAGATAATTTTTTTTAGTTATGAATATTTTCAGGATCAGTCTAGTTTTAATATAGTATGTTCTTTTATTAAGTGTAGTCTTAAAAGAATATCGTACTCAAAAATTAACAACATTAGGGATTCTCCTTATGGTATGTTTATATTATAGCCTGAATACGAACGAATATGTTAGTTTGCCTTCTCCCAAAGGGCGGTCTGATTAAAGAAGCCACTGTTCTGTAAAAACAGCATTTGGCCAATAGTGCTTGTTCAGCATACTGATGTCTAAGCGAACAATGTAAATGTTGAGGTCAAATATTTAGCAAAAATGTGTTCAGTAGCATTCAGTTGTATTTGTTTCTAATGTACCTATAGACCAAAGACAATATGGATATATATATTTATGCAAGACATTTGTAACGGTACATCTATGAATAAAATAATCATGTTAATTTTTAAACAGAGAAACTATATTAAATGGGAAAAAACTGTTCAGTGTAAATTCATAGTAAAGGTTTTTTTTTTTTAACAAAAGAACATCCATAATATAGCTTTTAAATTTTTTGTGTTTACTTTAATAATTTTTCATATCCATACAAAAATACTTATAATTTTTAAATTTATTGTTTATGAAAAATAAAAAAGTTACTTCAAATTATTTATGTGATAATTTTCTTTTAAATAGAACAAAAATTGACTCTCCATTGTAAATATAGATTTAAGATTCATAGAGAAATTATTATTTTATTTCTAAGTTTACAGACATAAATAAATATTACGCTCGTTTATGTAACTATTTTTATGCTTAAATTATGGATGCATCTTGTTCTAAGTAATTCACAGTATTATGTTGTGATTTGCTTAGTATAACTAAATTTACTTAATATGTACATATATATACAGGCCGGTATTTAGGAGGGGGCTACGGGTAGGCAAAATATTTTAACAAAATTAATTTTAAAAATCATGTACCTAAAAAATAGTATGTTTTATTATGTTAAAATGTGTAAATTAAAAAAATATTGTATGTTTTATTATATTATAATTTGTTAATTAAAAAAAGTATTAAACAATTTTCATTTATAAGTTATATTAAAGATTCTTGATTATGGACGAAATAATAAGTGTTATATTATTATTATTTATTTTTTGGGGGGGGGGGGGGGCATAATTTATATCTCTGGGGGCGTAAAAGTTTTAAATACGGGCCAGTATATATGTTCTATAGTAGTGGTTCCAATTAGTGTGAAGTCACGGACCCCTAGTTATAATTTAAATTGGTAAAATGGGTCCCTTTTTTTGTAAATACTTACTTTACAATTTTGTTTGATTATGAAAATGAAAAAAAATACAATTTATTTTAATTTGACAAACCTTTTGGTAATATTATACAAATTTAATTAGTTGCCCTACTCTTTCAAAAGTTGAAATGACGCCCCTGGTAATATTAATCACCTAATGTTAATATAAAAAAAGGTAATGTTAACATATATTTACAAACCAGTAATGTAAGGTGACATAGACTTGTTGATTTTTAATTATATTTTTGCTCCCTCCCCCTAAAAATTTCCAAGTTATGCCCATGGGTTGATATGATTAATATCAGATAAATTTAATATTTTTCAAATTACTCTTCAGTAATGTAATTTTATTTTAGGACCAAGATTTGTGTTGCAACCAATTCGTATTTTCAAAGGAAGTTTTTGCGGTGAAACCCTTTGGGAAAATCCATTTTATGTTACTCCTGCAAAAGTATTGTCCAAATTAAAAATAAATATAACTCGGAAAATAAATATTTTTCTTTTTCTTTTTAGACAAGACGATTATTGAGAGATAGTAAAAAAGATAAGTATACAAATAATAAAATCCAACGTAAAGCAAAGAAGACCAAGGAATTACTTGCACCATTCCGCGTCAAACCAGAAAATGAGATTTTCAAGGACGGCAGCATTAAAGAAAAAGCTAAAAAATTATTAATACGAAACAAATAAACTTTCAATGTTCAATTATAATTTCTATATTACGAATGTAATAAATTATTTTAAGAAATTTGTTTACAAGTAAAATAAACACACAAGTCGATAAAATTTGAAAATAAAAACATTGATAACCTTATACACACACACACACACACACACACAATAAAAAAAATATGTATATCAATTATACAGAATTCATATCCAACACAAAAATATAATTAAAATTATAAGTGAGCAAATATATACAAACGAAATACAATGTTTGAATACGGTTTAAAATAATTTTAAATTAAATATAAATACTCTACATTTTACTATATAAAATTTATAGACTATAAAAATGACTTTTCAGACGCCAGGTCCATGATTTTGACAAGACATTGTCCAAATTCTTCAATAATTATACGTTGACATTCTTCAGCGCCAGCGTTTAATTTTTTAGCCTCCATACCACGAGCTAAAAGACACCGACATGTAGCTTGTACTACATCGGTTGTAAAAAATTTGAATGGTTGACTGAAAAAAATGTTACTTAAATAAATATTTAAAATAACCCAATAATCATAAATTATATTCTTAAAAAATGAAATATAAACTAGAATATCGATAATAAATATGCAGATTTTTTATTCTTGAAGTTACTATTAAAATATTTATTTATTAAAATCATGAATCCACTATTTGGAATAGAAAAACATTTTAATAGTTAAGTAATACAATAAATACCTTGGTATATCATTTGCAGCTTGCATGCTACCAAATGATGTAACAAAATTAGCAGATTTCGTTCTAGATTTTAAATTTTCTACCATTAATGTTCCTGAATGGTCACCAAATGAGGTATGTGAATCATCATCAACATTCCGACACCCAACACATTTACAATTTTGTGAACATGCTATACGAGCTTCAAAGCATTCACAATAATTCTTTAGGCAACCAGATCTTTTACAATTGCATCCTTTGGTATGTTGTCGTTCAGCTTGACCCACAAAGCTTTTTATTTTCGGTCTAAATGCATTTGGATTTCTATCTAATACTGAACGAATAGCCTGTGCTCTATCTTCTTCATGTTCCATATTGTTAAAACATGAATTACAATTGCACTGATAACAAAATTCACCATTTGCAAAACAGTCACAGTATCTTAAACAATATGAAACAAACAATGAATATTATAACTCCATAAACATAAAAAAATTGAACCTACAGTTTAAGGCATTGTGATCTAGTACAGTTACAAGGTTTTTTTGTCTTGTTTACATCATTTGATAATTTGGGTTTTGTTTCAGATAACCCAGATGCAGTAGAAGATGAAGGCCTACCAATCTTTGGTACAATTGGATTGATCAAATTAATTTCATTTTTCATTTCTTTTCTAAGGGGAGTAATATCTTCAATAACATCTTCTTTCACTGTAATTTTTGGAACGGAAACCTAAAATATTTATTACAATTTTATGAACAAAGTTTGGATAATAAAATCTTCAAACATACTTGTTTCAAACTTGTAGTAGGGTTCACAGATGGAATTGGAGTGTTAGAACTACTTGATTTTTTTGATTCCATAGATGAACTGGTACTAGGTTTACTAGCAGGCAATATTGGTCTTTGTTGACTAGTAGTCACAGTCTATAAGAAAAATTAAATAATTAAAAATAAAAAAGTTTAGAATATAGTAAAACTTTTACATGAGATGAAGTAGAAAAAACTTTAATATGATTTGTTACTGGCTGTTGAGTATTAGAAGTAGAAGTTTTAGTTATAGTTGTTTTGACATTTGATTTTGGTGTAGAAGTTGATAAAGTGACTATTTGTGGTTTAGTAGATGCTGTAACAGTTGTAGTAGTAACAACAGAAACTGTTGATGAAGCTAAACTACTAGTGGCCGTTGTGGGTACAAGTCGTATATATTGAACCTAATATAAATAAAATTAATTTTAATTTAGTTCAAATAAAATATAATTTGAATGGTAATACTTGTTTATTTGGTAGTACTTGTTGTATTCCTGAGGTTACTGGCATTCTAACTTGTTGTAAACCAGCAACATTTGTTGCATTAACAGTTGGCAATCGTATATGCTGAATAGTTGACACTTGTGATGATTGTCCAACCATTGATGAAGGTAATCGTATAACCTGATTTGAACCATTGCTAGTAGACACTAATGTACCTTGCTTAAAAATACTACCCTAAAAATAAAATTATTCAATATATGATTATAAATTATAATACAGAATATTTTTATTATTTATTATTACTTGTCGAATAAATATCTTTTGTTGTTGTATCATTGGATTTTTAGTGGTTATTAGAGTTGGTGCTGGTAAAATTTTAGTAGGCCCAGATGATTTCACAGAACTAGTTCCTTTTTTTATGGTTCCCGAAATTTTATTAACAACCATATTCTGTAATTAATTTCATATATAATATTTATAACATAATTTTTCTTCAATACATACTTTATTTTGTGTAGTGTTAGTACTAGAAGCCACAGGCTGAAGTCGACAGCCTGGAGCAAGTAAACCCATTTGTCGTGCTTGAGATAGCGTAATAGTCCTAGTAGAACCTAACTGTGGACGTTGTCCGATTGGAACATTTAATACAATTTGTTGAGTATTTCTTCCAGTACTTGTACTTGGAATTGAATTAACCATAACTTTAGTAAGTAACTGAAAACAAAAAAAAAGTAATAATAATTAATATTAATTTATTAAGGTAATCTTACAGATTTTTTTGATTGTTGACTTCCTTGTGAACTTATTGGTGCACTTCTTTTAGTTCCACTTGCACTAGAAACAGTAACAATCTCAGATTGTAAATTAGCCTGAGGTTGTTTTAAAGTAATAACTTCTTCTTCCACAGGTTCAACTTTAATTTGTTCTAAAATCTGTGTTTCATTGTTTTCTTTAATAGAAATATTATCTTGATTATCATCTACTCTTTCAATTATTTCTTCTTTTATCTTTCCTAAATCTTCACTAGCAATAGCATCACCTGTATCGCTACAAACTTCTTCTTCGATCAAATCTAGATGATTTTCTACGTCCATTTGCTCTACAATTTCTTCAGTTCGATTTGGATCATCAAATAAATCTAACTCAGCTTGAAGTCGTTCAAGAGCTTCAAATTCACCTGACATTAATTTGTCAGAAGAACTTAACATTGTTAAGTAATCACTGTCTAAACTTGAACCACCACCTAAGTCTTGACTATCAAAATCTAGAAAAGAAATTTAGATATTATGAGTTATAATTTACATATTACACAAATATACTGTAGAATAGCCAATAAAATACACAAATGATATAAAAGTATGGAAATCAACCAGTTTATCATTTAATGTTTTAACACAAATATTTATAAAACTTTAATTGTTATGATTGCTAGTATTAAAGTTTAGAAAAAAAATTACTACAATTATGTGAAAATATTTATTTAATTATATATTTCCTATATATATATATTACCAATTTACTGAATGTATGAGGTGAATGACCTCTAGAATCTAAAAGAAAATTTTCAATAATTTTCGAGGTCAAAACTATTATATATTAGTAAAAAATTATTCTTTTAAAAATTCCATAAAATCAGTTACTTTATAGAGTTAAAAATGAATATGGTAGTTTATTATATTTATATAATATTATTATTTAGTATTATATTTATATAAAAGTATATTATGTAATTTAAGAATAAATCAGTTATATCATATTAATTTCTATAATAAATAATTATTTAAATGTTAATAAATATAAAAGCTTAACACATATATTTATATATAATATTAATACTAGGTGATGCATTAAAGTAAACAAAAGAATTTGCTTGAAATAATTTATAATTATACTAAGATAACCATAGAATCAATTTCAACATTTATGTAACTTAAAAATATATATTATTAATTACTTACATTAATTAGTTTTAAATATACCAAGATCTACTAAATATAGTTTTATATATTTTTTATGTGAACTAAAAGTGTATAATAAGATTTATATTCATTTCATTAATGAAACTATATAATAAAAACAAAACATACTAAACTAACAAAACTAATTTTATTCAGAGAGAAAATTAAAAATAATATAATTGTAGAGTATGAGTTTATAGTCTGAATTACTTTTTAAAATAGGTTGATAAATCAAGATAAAAATATATTTTGTTAATTAAATTGAATTTTGTATTACAAAATAATAATTACATTTTAAAAATCTTTTAATTTATTTGATACAAATAAATATTTTCATAATAACAAACAATATGTTGTTTATAAATAGGAGTTAAGACATTTAGTAATCATATATCAGACTATTGATGATTATCGAAACAAATATTGTACAAGTGTTCAGCAGCTAATCAGATTGTTAAATAGTATACACATAACTGCTCAGTTAAAGATGTAAGACATAATGGATTTGGATAAGCAATTATCCTTTGGAAAATATTGTATGAAGTGATATCGTACAGATATTCGACATAGCATAATCATGGACGGAGGACTAACAGTTAGAACTGCATAAGACATTCTTCAAAACGCATTCCTTTCACGACATACAACTGCATTTATTTTACAAACCTGCGTTGGACATGTTGAGCCTTAGGACAGGACGTAAAACCTTAGGTTTTGTTCGATGGTGCAGGGCTACCAGTCCCGGAATTGACGGCGCGTTCCCTTCGGATCGACGGTCACGCCCCGAGCTGGCAATTACTGATCGTTGGTCAGCACCGAGTGGATTGCATCCGCATTCCGCTCGACTTCTGAAGAATCCCTGAAAACGATTGCAGCACGAATACAGACCATATTTGATGGACGGTGATTAATGAAAATTGCGCGTTTTTGGAGCGTTGCAACACCATATTTGATTTTCAAAAAATTTTTACCACTGACCAATCGCGTTCGTCCGATACGTGGGCATTCGATAACAACAACAAATCCACAGAAAATGGGCGCTCGATTGGAACGGTCGCGAACGCAACGATAATTCGCGTTGTGTAATACGTTCTGCTGATACAATCAACGCCCAAAATAAAGTCGCTTTTGGATCCGAAGATTGCGGGCTTTTTAATCGAGCGAACACAACTTGGACTCCATGATCTCGAGTGTTCGGAGTGAACTTTTTTTTCAAAATTCAAAAGTCAACTTGGCTTGCGGTTAATGGTTACCTTTGATTACATTCGCATGTAAACCGCAACTGCGGTCGTGTGTTGATAATTAGCTACTTAAATAATAGTTACCGCCAACGCCCGGTCCTTAGTGGTGATAACGTTATCACGATAGTTCTGTGATGATTAAAGTTGACAATATAGAATATTCAGTAATGACATAGATATTTTTGTCAATTTTTTTTCTTATAAAATTATAATCTTATTGAAATGTATGCATTATTAATGATTGTTCATCTCCATTAATTGTTATTTGTTATTATAAATACTCTTATTCATTATTATCACTATTCTTGATATCCTGATCATATTATAATTATTATTTTTTTTAATTTAATTATTTAGTTATAATATTCGTTTTCTGTTATAATAATAATTTGTTGTTACCCTTGTTTATATGTTTTAAGTATTGAGTTCCTCATGAGCCTATAAGTATAAAACAATAATGTCTTTTTTAGAAGTGAGTTTTTTTACTTCAGTATTAATTTTAATATTCTGGAATGGTTATTTATTGCATGAGCACACTTATTTTTAAATTAAATAATATTACAGTCAACTTTCATTGTACTTTAAATATATTACTTAATTTAATTATTTTAAGTAATATTTATTTTCTTATAATGAAACTTAATATTTATCATATTAATCAATTGAATAATATATAAATTCTTATTTAATAAAAAATTGCAAGAAATAATTAAATGTTATTTATTTTTTAAGTTAATATAAACTTAAAATTATTAATTTTATACTATGAATGACATGGGTATTTCTTATAGAACTACTACCAAATCCTAAACTAAATTAGAATTCAATTTATTATCGAGCTAATGGCTTTATTAGATTTACATCTTAGTTGTTTTATAAAACTATAATCAACTAAATTAACTACAATAATTATGACATGTTACCTAACCTAACCTTGTTTAGATAATGAATATTTAACAATAAATGGTATTTTTATTTCTTACTTTAATTATATTTCATTTTAACATATTTAATTTTTAATGATTTATAATAATATGAACCTAAATCATTATTATATTTCAGTGGCGAAGATTTAATTTTTTTGATATCAATCATAATGCAGATTCAAGAAAAATATCTCAAACTATTGGTGTATGTATAATAATTTAATAATTTACAATCTGTAGTTTAAGTATTTAGTTTGTTTTTAAAATATTTCATTTAATCCCAGATTAAAATTAAATTATTTAATAATTTAAAATTAAAGTTTAAAGAAATATTACATTTCAAGACTGATTAAATTATTTGTTTATGTTAATTAATGATAACAATGAAATTCTCAATAAAAGTATTTTACCAGGGTAATTTCCTAGGTTTTATGATTATTGTGAACATTTTATATTTATAATATTATAGCAAGCGAGTAACTATTATCTCTCAATTTCTTTTCATAAACAAATGAAAATACTCAATAGTTCACTCTTTAGTAATTTAATATTATTTCAAACTAAATAGAATACAAAATTTCATTAACTATAAATTATTAATACAAATAAATGTATTTAATATATATTATTTTTTACTTATTCAGAGCTCTAAAATATCAACTACGAGTAGCGGAAATGGTCATTTAGTCATATGTGATGATGATGGCCTTGTACACTTAATCACACGTTCATTTCAAGTTACTACATTTCGAGCCTATCAATTAAATGTACTTATTTCCACGCAACTACAATATAGTAGTTTTTTAATTACAATAGGGGTAAATATTTATTAATATTCTCAATTCATAATACTATAATGTATTATTATGTTTAAATCTTAAACCTAACAATTTTATTCATAATTATTTAAGAAAGATGAACCAGATACCAATGCAATTCTCAAAGTTTGGGACTTGGAACGAAGAGATCGACAAAGTAATCCAATATGTGTCCGTTCCACAAAACTTCCAAAATCTGAAAAACTTACCACATTATGTGCAGCTGAAAATCGTTTGTTAATGGCTGTAGGATTTGTAGATGGCTGTATTGTACTTTATAAAGGTGATTTATCCAGAGATAGAAATTCTAAACCGAAGATGTTAAAAGAATTGGATCAAGAAATAACTGGTATGGGTTTCAAGTCTGTGAACAAGGATCAATGGTATCTTTTTGTTTCTACTGCTTCATCTGTTCAACAGTTTAATGTCTCTTCTAAAGACTCCTGTCCAATGGTAGCGTTATTATTGCTATTGATTATAAGTAATAGTATTTATTATAGTTTAAATAGTTTTGTTACTTTTAGACAGTTTTAGATGCCGTTGGATGCGATTTCAAATGTTCAGTGTTAGTAAATGGACCTGATAGTCATTTTATGATTGCAAAAGAAGATGTAAGACATTTTAAATTATTTGAATTATCTTTAAGTATTGCTTAGTGCAGCGGTTTCCAAACTCGTTTGGATCACACACCCCTAAAACAAAAAAAAAAAAAAAATATAATTGCATCTCTCAATAAAACATTTTTTATTATTTAAATATAAGAAAATTATTGTCTATCTAAAAGTAAATATATGACAGTGCCATTTACAATATAAATATCTGCTTTATGTTTCCCTACTAGACTCAACTGCATGCCTCAAAGTTTGGGAACTGCTGGTGTTTAATGATAAATTGAATTACATTAAATTTTAATTTATTTTTATTTTAGGCTATTTATTGTTATACAGTTGATAGCCGTGGACCATGTTATGTTGTTGGTGGTCAAAAAATGATTCTTCAATGGTTTCGAAGTTATTTAATTATTGTATCTAAAGATAAAGAAAAATCTTCTAATACTATTACAGTCTCAACTACCACAAAAAATCTGTAAGATTTATCAAATATACATACTTATTTGTGGTCGACTAGGTAATGGTTTGTTAATTACTATAATTTACAAATAATTTTTCTAGTGATGAAATTGAGTCCGTGTCAATCACTGTGTTAGATATTCAAAATAAATTTATAGTTTTTACTACTACCATACGTGAAATATTATCAGTTTTACCTGAGTGGGGATCGTTATATGTCTTAACATCCAGAGGAAATTTATCACAGTTGATAGAAAAAGATTTGCAATCAAAATTAACTGTATTATTTAAGAAAAATTTGTATGATGTTGCTGTACGTATGGCCAAGTGTCAGCAATTTGATTCTCAAGCTTTGATTGATATATTCCGTCAATATGGTGACCATTTATATGCCAAAGGCGACCACAGTGGTGCTGTAGAACAATATATTAAAACTATAGGAAAACTCGAACCGTCTTATGTCATAAAAAAAGTAATGTAGTTCATTCGGATCATAAATTATATCTTGACTATTTTTAATACAACTTATTTTTTTAGTTCCTAGATTCTCAATACATAGAAAGTTTAACTACATACTTACATGCTTTACATAAATCAGGTAGTGCAAATAAAGACCATACTACTTTATTGTTCAACTGTTATTCAAAATTAAACAGTGTAGACAAACTTCAAGAATTTATTATAGTAATTTATAACAATATTTTATAAAGCAATAAAACCATACAGAATAACTATTAATTGTTGTGTTATTATAGACCAAAGATGAAAACATTGATTTTGATGTGGATGTTGCTATAAAAGTTTGTAGACAATCGTCACCTGAGAATGCACTTGCGTTAGCTGAGAAACATAGTAGACATTCTTTATATATTAAAATATTACTGGAAGATTGCCACAAGTATACTGCTGCTTTAGATTATATTGAAAAACTTTCAATTGAACAGGTGTTATATTTTTATTAGCAATAAATAATATGACTTTATTTTACTAATTATACTTATTTTTTATTATAGTCAGTACAGATAATTAAACAATATATTAATGTCTTCATAGAAAATGTTCCTAAGGATACAGTAAATTTCTTAAAGAAACTGTGTACTACTTGTTACACTACAGCCAATGTAAATGCTTAATTAATCTTAAAATAATGAAGTTTATAAAAAATATAAAATTATAATAATTATTTAAGGTAGATCTGTTAGATCATTCAGCTCAACCAGAAGATTTCATTTATTTATTGTTGGATGACTCCGAGTGTTTAGTCAATTTTTTGGATCATTTTGAAAATGTAAATAATAATTTATAATGTATGTATAAAAAAATATTAAATGTACACATTTGTTTTAGTTTCTTAACAAGTGGTCTACATCATTATTGAATACATACATTGAACATTGTTTGATAGTATGGAAAAATGAAAATAATCAAGAAAGACGCATCACAATTGAAAAAAAAATTATCAATATTCTACAATCTGTTGATAATAAAATATGTGATCATTATCAAGTTTTAATTTTAGCTATTTCTTTTGAATTCAAAGCAGCCATAGTCTACATCTTTGAACATAATAAACAGTTAATAAAAATTTATGAGCAGCATATTTTCTTTTACATCATTAACCAATTTCATTACATTTCAGGTACACTAAATTGATTCGCTATTATTTATCCTTGAATGATTATACTAGCGCGATAAATTGTTGTAGAGGATATGGAAATGTGGAACCAAAATTATGGGTATCCATATTTAATACAGCAATGATAGATGAAAATTTTCCTCCTCTTATGTTGGAAGAAATATTAAAAGAGATTGGTATGTATTGATGTTTTAAATCATCTTCAAACTTCTTATTTTTGAAGTTACTAAAATGTTAACAATATTTAATTGTTATTAGAAAGAAAAAATCTTTTGTCAGCTCATTTTACCATTACCTCATTGGTTAAATCTAAAACCATTAATATTGGTCATGTTAGAGCGTACCTGTCAAGTTTGTTTGGTGCTGAAAAGAAAACCCTTGAAAAAGAAAAAGAAACAGTTGATAAGTATCAGAAAGATACAGAAAATATTCAGCAAACAATACAAAAATTAAAAAATTGGTCTGTAAACTTATTAATAATTAAAAATATTGTATTTTAAAATAAAAATTTAATCACTTTTTAGTGCGGTTGTCTTCCAAGGTTTACGTTGTAGCGCTTGCAATAATCAATTAGAGCTTCCCAGTGTACATTTTATGTGCCAACATTCATATCATCAACAGTAAGTGAAACCATATATGAATTAAGATACATGTATGTTTATGCAACTATAACCAGTTTATCTTTTATCTTCAGTTTTATTTAAATCAAAATTAAGTTACCTAAAAAGTAACTGACCTAACCTAATTTGGTGGTTTTCTATTTTTCCTATCTGTTTTAATATTGACATTATTAATTTTGATTTCAGCTGTTTTCAAGCTTTTTCAGAAAGCGATGATGATTGTCCAGCCTGTACTCAGAACAATAAGCAAATAATGGATATCATCAGGACTCAGGTAAATTGAACAAAACTACAAATTGGTATGTACATAGTTCAAATATGTGTTAAATACATTTTTTTTATGTTCAGGGTCAGATGAAGGATCATAATGAAGTATTTCACAGTCAGTTAGAACGATCCACCGATAGTTTTTCTTTGATTTCTGAGTATTTTGGTCGATGCCTTTTTGATAATTTAACTGCAGCTGAAAACCAACTAGCCAAGTCAATATTTGTATCTCCTGAACTATCAGCACCTAAAGCAATAGTTCCAATTGTACACACTCCACCAAGACTGAGTCCAAAATTAGCTGTTAAAACAAGTATAAATCCATTTGATGAAGATGATGATGATGATGATATGGAATACGACAGTAATAATCCATTTAAAAATGATTACAAGGAGAGCAAAAATCCATTTAAAAATGATTACGATGAGAGCAAAAATCCTTTTGCAAATGATCCTTAACCATATGAATACTTTAGTCAAATATTATAACAATAAGTAATAACTAATTAATAAATAATTTATTATTGTAATTTAAATTTAAATAAATGAAATACTATTGTTCCAACTAAAAAAAAAAAAAAAAATAATAATACATAAATATATATATATATAATAATAAATATTAAAAAAATTAAATAAAAATATTTTAAATGATGAATACATAACATAATTTTTACTATTAATAACTTTAAAACAATGATTAGTTGGATTAGCTAACAACATTATAAATACTAGACTAAAAATGAATGCTAGCATGTAGTTCAGATTTATTTAAGATTAATTCATGTATTATTTATTAATAATATACAGTATTTTAATATGTAAAATATTAAATTCAATCCCTTCGAATGAATGATCTGCCACTGAAACATTTAAAATTAATTATTTTTTCAAATGATTTTATACTACATGTAATAATATCTAAATGTACATAAAGTTATTTAATTTTCTATAACCATGGAATAAAAGACATCATTATTTGGTATATGTTAACTGACAGCTGTCATATAAAAATATGTTCATAAGTATGAAACTATTAATTTGTAAGAATTGTAATCAATCATATACTAAAATGAACATAAAACAAAAATATTTAAGTGATAAATGAAATTAAGCCATTATTAAATCTACATATTTTACTATGTAAAATATATTTAATAATATTATATTATGACCATTACAATTTATAGACATCATAATAGTTTATACAAATTTAATAATAAAAATAAATGTATGATATTTAATAAATTGTGTTACATAAACTGTAATATAAAATTTATCTAAACAATAAACAATCATACATTTTTATTTTTTTTTTTTTAAAGGATATTTTAAATAATCAAAGAAGAATAATGAAGTAAGTCAAAGAAATCAAATTTAGAATATATAGTTTTAACCACAGGGTATTTGAAGAAAATATAAAAACAAGATATTTGTTTAGTGCAATGATGGTAGATGGAATTACTTATTTTAAATGAACTGGAAAAACAGAAATAAATATTCTTAGTTGGAAGTACACTGTAAAATTATAACTAAACAAAAAAACTGCTTACTTTCAGATGTCAAAACTCAAATGAATAAGTGTAATAGCTTACCTAATAGTTTTCTTTTCATTAGACTTTTTTGATTCTGGTCTAGCTCTGTTGAGCACTTTAATGAAATCAGTAGTTTTAGCTCGCATACAGGAATGTATATATGCTTTGGTGCACTTGATATGATAATGTAGATAGTCACGGAACATATGAATCAAATCAATAGTATTTTCACGAGCTGCACGGTTAGTATGTCTTGGGAATAGCACTAAAATAAATGAAATTATAATCTTAATTAAAAATAAAATATATTAAAAAAAAAAAAGATATATACAAAAATGTTAAAAATTCATAAAATTATTAATTTTTGTTTTAACACAATAAAGAATAAAAGTTTTATTCTTACCAAATGTTATATATCCTACTTCATCACCAACACGAGCATTAGTGTCTTGTAATTCAAGGGGTGGTTCTTTGTGCGAAAATAATACTTGAGGAGAAGTTTGACTAGCTCGTCTGCCTTCTCTTAGTTCTTGCATAAAGACTTTACCTAAAACTATGTCATCACTATCCCTGAATACTGTGCTGAATACAACAGTTACGCGATCTGCTTTAGCTTCCACATACCTAAAAGTAACAATTTAGATAAATATCTAATAATATAAGGCCTGAAGATTACTCACATAGTCTCATCTTCTCTGTAATTAATCACAGCTCTTTTATGGCCTTCCTCGCCTTTTTCTTGGAAGTCAAAATACTTTTCAAATACTGATGCAAAACAATTACGTTTCAACTGACCAATTTTCTTAACTAATAATTCCCAATCGTCAGGTATTTTTTCTAGGTTAATGAGCAAAGAAAAATTAAAACCCGATTCCGGTTCGGTAACATATGCACCGTACACACGGTTTAATAACTCTGATGCACCGTGTTCTTGAAGTTCAGCATAGAATTTCAAAGCTATGCTCACCTATATATAACACAGACAAATGGCAGCTGTTTAGCCTACAGAAGAAGACGTATTGTGCCGCCTAACAAAAGGCCATCACTCACCCGCAGCATGTTCTTTTGACCTTCCAGGTTTGAAATGTGGAACAGAACTCCAGCGTAGTCCGAAATGTAAATGTTGGTGTTTTCCGATTTGTTTCTGCGGAAAAAGAAACAGAGAAAGCGGCACGTAAATATAAAGGTAACAAGGGAACGGGATATATGTGTCGGACGTACCCGGCCAGCGCGTTCTTAATCCTTACGGTGACGGACTCTTCAACAACGCGATTGTTGGTCTCCAGTAATATCATGGTTGCAGTGTGTTGGCCGAGGTCACGAGACGACTAAACGGGCATTGAAAACGTTCAACGACGATGAGAAGCGGATCGGAACTCTGTAACCCGAAAAGTACGTACCTGCGCGGCGTGGAAATGAGAAGTTCAACCGAAGACCAATTTGATTCCTACTGCGCGCTGCGGTGCTGATGACTAACGTATTTAAAACGATTATTCGTTCATACGGACGGCGACGCGTTACAGGCGGTCGACGGAATGGTAAGCGAACACGACGAGTCCCACATTATAATAAACGATATCTGGTCCCTTGGTTCCGGAAGATAACGCCGGGGCCGGACGGACAGTGCGTCCAGCTGGTCGGTAGGAACGCGTCGTTGTGGTAGCCGTGTACTCGCACGTGAACGATAACGCGCCTTCGCACATCCTTGATAAAACGCAGCGACGACCGAGTCCCTCGTGTACGCCGTTACGGGACCATCGTAAACAACGTTGAAAAAAAATTTCCATTGCGCTCGGACCGTCCGGGATAGTCACCATGAAAGTCAAGCTACTGAGTCGCAATCCCGACGATTACCTGCGCGAAACCAAACGAGACATTCAGAAGGGTAAGCATGTAGGAACGTTCGTACCGTCTCGGCGGTCGCGGACGGATTTCCGAAACGCACATTCATAATAATTACTAACCGGAGTTCGCCTGTTCGTCGACATTCTAACCGGAACCGATCATCGATAACCGTCATACTGATCGATCGATCTGCACTGCAAACAGGAGTGTACATTCGTCGTCAAACAATCGATTTTGATTTTTCCCTTTCGTCCACTTATTAAATGATTTCACTTGGTTTTCAGTGCCTCGAAATTATGATCCAAATCTTCACCCCTTTCAATCGTCACGTGAGTATGTGCGTGCTCTTAATGCCGTAAAATTAGAACGAGTGTTTGCCAAACCTTTTATTGGGAACTTGGACGGACATCGTGATGGTATCTTCTGTATGGCCAAACATCCCAAATCATTGTCCACAATATCTAGTGGTTCCTATGATGGAGAGGTACGGCTTTGGAATTTAGCTTCTAAAAAATGTATAAGCAGTGTCAATGGCCACGAACGTTTTGTTCGTGGTTTGTGTTTCAACTTTGATGGTTCAAGACTCTATAGTGTTGGCGATGATTCTACTGTTAAAGTTTGGAATACAGAAGAACTTGACTTACCATCGCATACATTCATATCTCAAGTACGTAAAATATATCATACAAATTGTATTATGATCTGTGGCAGTCTTTCTAACAATGCAAATGTCAGTCTGTTTTATATGGTATAAGTTGTCAGTGGCTTGACAGTAAAGTATTTGCAACATGTGGTGATGTAGTTCAACTATGGGACATTACTCGTAGTCAACCAACTTCAACTTTACAATGGGGTGTTGATAGCTTACATCATATAGCATTTAATCAAGTTGACACTAATATTTTAGGTAATATTTTTTTTTTATTTAATATATTTCAATATTTAAAACAGAAAAAGTATGAAATATTGTCAACTTACATAATTCTAAATAAGATATTTTCTCTTTTAAATCTTATGTCATTTAAATGTAAATATTTATAGCATCATGTGCAAGTGACCGTAGTATAATCCTTTACGATACTAGAGAAGTGAAACCGATGCGAAAAATAGTAATGAAACTCAAAACCAACCAAGTGGCTTGGAATCCTATGGAAGCATATGTGTTTACAGCTGCCAATGAAGATTATAAGTAATTTTTTAAAAATATTTATTTATTCATTATTAATTTACTAGTATGTGACTTTAGTTGTTATTCTTATGATACGCGGAATTTAAAATCTCCAATTAATGTCCATAAAGATCACGTGTCTGCTGTTACTTGTATAGATTATGCACCTACTGGTTTAGAATTTGTAACTGGAAGCTATGACAAATCGGTCAGAATTTTTGAAAGCAGTCAGGTAATTATTATTTAATAGTTATATAAAGTTTGAGTTGTATATCATATTTAATATTTAGGGTCATTCAAGAGAAATTTATCATACTAAACGTATGCAGCATCTGACTAGTGTCATTTGGTCATTGGACAACAAATTTATTCTTAGTGCTTCTGATGAAATGAATATAAGAATTTGGAAAGCCAATGCTTCAGAAAAATTAGGAACAGTAAGTTATTTTGTTTATTTAAATGTTTTTTTTGTGTTTTTAATGTTCTTTTATCAATTAAGATAGAACTTAAAATTTTAAATATTTATATTATTTCATTTTGTTAAAAGAGTTCTATGGTTTTCAAAATGTTATATTGATATTTCAACAATAGTTATTTATGAAATTCATATTTTAGTTGAGACCACGTGAAAAATCTGCAATGGAATATAATGCAACATTGAAGACAAAGTTCGCTGCTCACCCACAAGTGAAAAGAATCGCTAGACATAGACAAGTACCTAAACATATCTATCATGAACGTGCCCAACAAATGGAATCTAGGAAAAAACTTAAGAGAAAGTAAGTTATTTTAATGAATACAAAATGTATGTGAATATATATTAATTAATCATTTTTACTTTTATTTTTAGGGAAGAAAATATTCGTAAACATTCTAAGAAAAATAGTATTCCATATATACCCGAAAAAGAAAAAAATGTTATTTCAGAAGTTGTTTAATGTATTTCTTTATTTATTTATTTTAAGGTTTTTATTGTACATTTTTAATTGTTAATAAATACAATTATGAAAATAAGTCAACATTTCTTACAATTATTATAATTATTGGGCAGACAAATTACAATGTTATGATATTTAACTGATTTATTTGTATTAAAATTTTTTTATACATATATATATATATGAGGAAATTAGTATTATGGTGGTGTTGAAAGGTTACGAATAATAACAACTGTTGTGTATAATATTAGAGACACAACAACAATAGTACAGTACAGATTTATTAGTTTTTGTTTTGTTACTAATATTTTTATGAAGTACACAAAATTTTTTAAACTAATGGTCAAGTACAATAAATATAAATATATAATATATATATTTTATTATAATAATATAAATATAAAAAAATGTAGGGCCATTGAAGTAATGAAAATATTAAAAAAACTCCACATTTAAGAAGTGAAACTTGTTAATTTAATATAAAAAATAAGGTAAATACTTGGTTATACTGTAATATTAATATATAACACAATATGTAATATTGTAGTAAAAAATTAGCATCTTAAAATGAAAGGTTTAGAGATTTAAAGGAAAAAAAACCCTGTGAAGAAAGAAAAAACCAAAACATGACAAATCATTAAATAATAATTTATTTAATAAAACATATTGACTTCATAAAAAATATAAGATTTCTTACAGGTAAATGGTTATTTATTAAAAATTATGAAAATATAAAAAAAAAAAGAGAAACTTGGTAATGTGAAAAAAAATAAATATGTTATAACAATGGCAAAAAAGAAGAAAAACCCTGTGAGGGGAAAAAACCAAAAAAAAAAAACAAGTTAATTTAGGTAGTTGAAAAAAAAATTTCCATACAAAAAAAAAGGTATAAAAAGTTTAGAAATGTATAAAAGTAATTATAAAAAAATATCAAATGAGAATGATCTGGATCACGAGGTCTTCCATCTACTGCCGATTAAGCATGCGATTACGCATATGGTCTCTGTGGCGTTACTACCGACTTCGGATTTAATAGAACTTCGGAGACGGTTCGATCGCTCCCCCGTCCTCGCTCAACATCTCTAGGTACAGAATAGCGTTTAAGGAGTTCTTCCACCCCTCAACGCTGACGTGTTCGATCTCCACGCGCCCAAAACCATGGTCTCTCGACATATCCACAGTCCAAGACATGTGGATGGTTTTTGGCACGTGGAGAACGACAACAGGGGCGATCTCACGTGCCATCTCGAGAATGCCGACTAGTCCGCCCTTCTGGCGGCTGTACAAATCTTCGACACTGAAACGCCAGTTTCGATCCCACGGCGGCGAAGAGATCACCGCGTCGGCCGTCACTCCGGATAGTGCCACGAAGCTGTCGCCGATCCGAAACTCGATCCGGTGGGCGATTCCGAGCTCTGCGGCCTTAAGGCGGGCTGTATTTTGGCCGGGTCGATGTCCACGGCGATCACCTTTCGGCACGTGCGCGCCAACCGAACGGCCAGGCGGCCGTCGCCATAAAACGGGTTGACGACCGTGCCGAAAGCGCACCTCCGGGCCAATATGTCCGGGCACGCGGACACCGAGAAGTGCAACTTATCGGCAACAGGTCGTTTCTGGAACCACCAAGCGGCCGGTTTCGCCACGGCTTCGGGGAGACACGGTTCCCGATGTCCTTAAGCGGTGATCGGCGGTTTCCGCGGCTTCAACGCGGCGGACTCATCGGAGGGGCCCGACGGCAACGTACTGGGGAAACTGAAGGTGGAAGCGGTCTCTTGCACCTCAGTCACGACCGCGTCCTCCTCGGGCTCATCTTCAGCATTAGTACGCGTCATATGATCCCTTACGGTTCTCAGCCAGTGCTTTAATGTTCCTACTTCCCGGGGCGACGTCAGGTGTTCCATCTCGGTGAACGCTTCCGCGGTCACCGGCAGCTCATCCACCTGAATGCCGACGTTTTTGCCCATTTTCTTGGTCCTCAAAGCACCGGTATCTCGGTTTCCGGTCCACCGACGCTCCGTTTGGGTATAACCGTCCCAAGTGGTGGCATGCGGTTTTCCGACGGTGGTCGACATGAAGATCACGTGTGGTGACCAGGTCGTTCGATGCCGACGACGTGGCCCGCAATTCTTCGTCATCGTACCAGTAATGGATAGAGTAACTGGTCGGCCACCCCCGTACCCTCGCGGTCGCTTGACGACGACTGAAGTGGGCCCGCTATGTTGGAACCAGTTTTGACACTGGAACCACCCACTCCTGCCGACCACTGGGGTTACGAAGCTCCTAAGGTGGTAACAATAATCGACTGATAGTAACTCATATTGTGATTTTTCAAGTGATTTCTTTCACTACATTTTAACCCTACTGCCAGGGGGTTTTTGATCAAGGTTTTCCTTCCTCTAGGACGGCTCCCATCCGAGGCTGAAGAGCCCGCCCTACCCTTTGTTGAGAACCGCTTTGTCAGCCCTCAGTTCGTCGACTTGTCCAACATGGGAGACCCTGTTGGTAGTAAACTATCGTTGGCATAGCTCTCGGAACTGTTGAGGGACGCAAGCCCCCCCACCACGTCAAGGTGGGTCCTCGTGGGGGGGTTATTCAAGACGTCACGCTAGACGAGAAACATACCCGGCCCTACGAACGAGGCTGGGAAAGACAATATATATATATTTTATACCTCAATAAGGGGTAATCGTGAGAGACTGTCTCGTGACTATTACGGAATATATTTATAATTTATTAAGATAATTTATTACCAAGAGAATTTATTAAGTACACACCTCACTCGCTTTGATTTATAAATGATAATATATTTCATCTTTTGTTAAATGCGATACAAAATTATTAGAGACTTGAATTAATTAAAGTTCCTAATTTAATTTTCAACTTATTTAATAATAAAATAAATAACATAAACTAATATAAATAATAAAAATATAACAAAGAAAACAAAGAAAATAATAATATTAATAATTTAATATAAATTCTTATTGTATAGGTATAAAATATTCGGGCTGTATTTTTCACAATAAAAAAAAACTAATTAAATTATATTATAGCTTTAACCATTTCTGTATAATCATAGAATATTTTATGCTGTAATAATGTCACAAAGAATATGTTATTTTTAAATAAATATAAGCCAATTATAACTTGCAAAATCAAAATTATCAGTTATCAAAGTATAATTATATATGTACCCGAGTATCCTCCAAAATTTAGTAAACAAGAACACTAAAGTGTAATTCTAAAAGTGAGGGTTTCTTATTTTAATTGTTATTGCATAAATTAAATGTAATTTATTCTAATATATTCGTCAAAATAAAATTATGTTTCATAATAGAAAAACTTAAACTTAATTTTTGTATAAAAAGATTTATAAAACTTAAATAAATTTTTCAAAAATTACAAAAATATAGTTTATCTTTTTTTGACCCAAAAATCTTCCTAAAATTTTAAAAATTTACCTTTAAATACATCCTAAAATGTTGTTAAAAATTATTATTTTATTAAATATTTCATAATGTAGACTTAAAATGGTTGGAAAATGGTTAATTACCTTACCTGGTAGAAATATCTGCTCGACAGATGTCTAGCGTATTTGATATTTCAAAAGTTGACAAATCGACCACTGTTCAGCAATATTCGGAAAACAGTTAACTGACAAATTAAAATCACTTAAACTTGAAACTTTAAAGTATTAATGAAATTTATGATGGCTTCAGCAAAAATTAGAAGGAAATTGTATGTACTGTCGACTCCGTTGTTGATGTGACAAATATTTCGTACGAACTATTGTTAGTTGAAAAATTTAATTTAAAATGTCATAGCAACGCGATATGGTTAATAGCCAATAATTATTCTGCGAATTATGTAATTTTTTTTCAATGTTTTCAATATACCAATCAAAAGCTAAAAGATTATTATTTTAAATGCAAATGGGTTAAATCTTCCGAAAATTAATGTCATGTACCAACAACTAAATCTTCTGATGAGAATCGTATATAAGTGTTTAAGATAATGTTGATACACAGTAGGTTATATATGTATATAATACAATTTGTTACAAAGTGACATAAAATATGTATTTCACTCAGTGTTATGCTCAGGAATTTTCAGTGAGAGGTTAGGGATTTTAAAAGCAATAATATAATTAAGAGATTGTGATATTAAGCCAAAAACTTTATAGGGAGACTTTAATAGTTAAGTCATTCAAATTGCTTTTAACTCATAAAATGACTGTTTATAAAAGCTTTGATAAATCATAGTTGTATTATGAATACATTTAAAAGACAATTGGGTCTTATCTTCTTAACCTCCACTCCTTCTGAACACAAAACTGTCACTTCTCATATGAGATATGTTACTAAGTTCAAAATATGGTTGATTTAAACATATTTTCAAAAGTAATTAATACGCTTTAATATTATTAATTAATATAATTAATATTATGTAATTAATACGAGCATATTTACAGAAAAAAAAAATGAATCTAAAGGACATATTTGTTAGACCTAGTAACATTGTATTCTGTGAGCTAAAAAAAAAAAAGAAATATAAATTTGAATTATTATGTTTACAATAAAATGGAACAAATAAATTTAAATTTAAATTTATTTTTAGAAAAGTTTAAATCCCCCTAACATAAAGTTATAATATATATATAATTTAATACAAAATAGAACTTAAAAAAATATATGGTGGTTTAAAATACAAGATATACATCATTGCACTCACAATACGCACAGATTATTAAGCGTAATGTTGCCGTGTAAAATAAGAATTAATTTTTATATTTATTAAGTATTAATTTTTCTTCAAGAACGGTAATCTGCTATCTAGTTACCCAACGATTGTGGGTCTGCAATCCAATAGTTACCGTGGAAACTACCCCCAAATATCTTTTATTTTGTAAAATATACAATCATTTTAATACCTAGATATAATTTGGCATAGTTATATATCTACATTATTATACGTATATATACGAGTATATCCAGGCCCGTATTTAAAAATTTGGCGCCCCCGGGCATATAATTTA